TTTGCAATGCATTCCTTTTCAGTATGCGAGTTCCTGCGGTGTTTCTCAGGCTGCAGGGCTCCGAGGCTCTTCGCTTCGATGCCAATGTTTTCAGACACCGTAGCTCCGTTCCGTAAACGTCTTCCAAGAGCCGCTCGCAACCTTTTGCAGCTGGCTGTCTGCACGCTTCGCCGGCTTTTGCTGCGCGGACAATTTTCTCACACACGTCAGCGCCGTTTGTAGGCGTCAGAAAAACATGTAGACATTCACGAAGGGCTCAGTCTGTATATCGTCACATCATTACATACGCAGTCGTCGAACACATCGGTGTACATTCAGCGCTTTGTCCTTCTACAGCATTCTTTCCGTTGATAACAGTGTTCTGATGGGTTCGCTTCGTTCTAAAAGCGTTGATAGCAGTGTCTCGTTTGCGGACAACTCATTCTATATCAACTCACTGATACCGAGTTTCCTTTCACCATAAGTGAATGCATACCAGTGTATGTTGGTTACTACAAAAGTGGGTTCCTACAACCGACTTCATGATCGCTATCATCATCGCAGATTTCACTCATCCTCATCACCACGACTGGTTCACGTTGGCCTGCGGTGCTTCTCAGCCTGCAGTTCCTTTCGTTACACTGTAGTTGAAGCCGTTCATGGCAGTGACTCGTTTAAAGACAACTTTAGTATTGGGGGAAGTGTCGATAGCAGCGTTTCTTTTTACTTATACAAGCGTTGATAGCAGTGTCTCGTTTGTGGACAACTCATTATATATCAACTCATTCATGCAGAGTTTCTTTTCGCAGCAAGTGAATGCACAGCAGTGTATCTGCATTACTGGCCCCCACTCCATTATCACTATCATCATCAACGATTTCCTACACGCGTGTGCGCGGCGGTCGCCATGAGTGAATAGTTTGCAGAGACTTCTCGCATTGATACCCATGGGTCACTTCAGAGTGAACTCATTTGTGATCTTCTTTCATTGGAAGTTGAATCGGTTGATGGCAGTGCCTCGTTTAAACTCCACTTTGGTATTGCTAGTAGTGTCAATGCCAGCGTTTCTTTTTAATTGTGCAAGCGTTGATAGCAGTGTCTCGTTTGTGGTTAGTTATAACAGCGTTGACAGCAGTGTCTCGTTTGCGGACACCTCATTGTACATCAACTCGCTGATACCGGGTTTCCTATCAACACCATCATCATCATCCTTAACCATGTTTGCTCGAGTTTCACCTGGCCGTCCAGCCGCGGCGGTGCTCCTCAGCCTGCCTTGTCACAATGCCAGCACGCGGCAAGGCATCGCCCCCGCCACCCCCGGCCCCGTGCGATGGCCCGTGGGAGATTCTGCCGGATCCGCCCGCACCGACTCCTCAGCCAGGTGTCGACGTGGTCTTTGAGCAGGCTCACCTCGAAGACATCCGCCGTACACCAGGGATGGGCGGCAAGACCGCCTGCCAGTGGCAGCGCGCGCTGCGCGCCGAGTGCATTGTCAACAACTTGTCGTTCAAAGACGTAACAAACGACCCGTCCTACGACTGGAAGCAACTGCTTCGGTCTGCCGCTCCGGGTTTCGCTGAGCGCATAATCGGGCAGGGCATCGCCCAGGTTCTCTTTCGCATCATCGAGACAGAGCGCGACCCTAACTACTCCAACACGGATGGCCACGGCAGGCACTTCTTCGAGTTCCGTCGTGCAGACGGTTCAGCCATGCGCCTGCATTACCATAAGAACGGCCGACCCGATGAGCCCACCTATGTCGGTCCACCACGCGCCGTTGCTCAGCCTGCCGTGCCTGAGCCTGGCGCTGCTCAGCCTCATGTTCCTCGTGGCGGCGCTGCTCAGACTGCCGTGCCTGACGGTGGCGCTGCTCAGCCTGCCGAGACTGGCGGTGATGCCCCACTGCTCTTCACACAGGAGCACCTGCAAGAGGCAGCCTGCTCGCGCCAGATTGTGGGCCGCGACGAAGCCAGCGCCGCTCTCCAATCGCTGTTGCACTACCACCATGGCGAGACTGCCCCAGGTGCTGTTGACATCACCGATGGCTCAGCATTTGACTGGCTTCGATGGGTGGCACATATCGAAGGTGCGCGCGACGTCATCCGCAATGGCGTCCACAGGGTCTACGCTGTCCGCTGGAATCCGCACTGGGCTCCAGAGGCCGTCTTCTGCTACGGCAACAACACCTACAGCACACTGGTGCCCCGCAAATCGCGCTACACAGGCTCGTGGAGCCACGCGCGAATTGTGACTCACCGGAACGCCAATTGGGTGACCGAACCGTTGCTATCTGCGGCCCCTGTGGCAGCTACGCCGTGGCTGGTGTTGCGGGATCAAATAACCTGGGAGTGATCTCTGGCAAACGAGATGTGGTGCTTCTCAGCCTGCACTCATGTGACACGCAATGCCGTGCCCTGCAATCGCGTGGTGTTTCTCAGCCTGCACTCGCAGGTCCTTCGGAGGTCAATTGTTATGAGTTCGGCACGGTCTCGGTCAAGTACAGCGTGCTGTGGGGATCCCGAGATGGGGCCTGGCTCAAGGTGCTCAAGACGTACTGGAGTGTCCCAGAGCCGGAGTGCCAGCTGATCCTCGGGAGTTGGAACGGCATTTTCAGGCCGTGGCCGGACACGTTCTGGATCAGGACGGGGGGGTCCGAGCCCGAGATAGATGCTAGCGCTCTGCAGTACAAGTGCTTTTCAGCATGCGACATCCTGCGGTGCTTCTCAGCCTGCAGGGTTCGCAGCGTGCGGTTTGCAATGCATTCCTTTTCAGTATGCGAGTTCCTGCGGTGTTTCTCAGGTTGCAGGGCTCCGAGGCTCTTCCCTTCGATGCCAATGTTTTCAGACACCGTAGCTCCGTTCCGTAAACATCTTCCAAGAGCCGCTCGCAACTTTTTGCAGCTGGCGGTCTGCAGACGTAGTCTGTCTCAGCATGCGAGCTCCCGCACGCTTCGCCGGCTTTTGCTGCGCGGACAATTTTCTCACACACGTCAGCGCCGTTTGTAGGCGTCAGAAAAACATGTAGACATTCACGAAGGGCTCAGTCTGTATATCGTCACATCATTACATACGCAGTCGTCGAACACATCGGTGTACATTCAGCGCTTTGTCCTTCTAGCTGGGTCGCTTCGTGCTGAGGCTGAGGCTGATGCAGGCTGAGGCTGAGGCAGGCTGAGGCTGAGGCCGAGGCCGACGGCAGACTGAGGCTGAGGCTGAAGCAGGCTGAGGCTGAGGCAGAGGCAGGCTGAGGCTGAGGCTGAGGCTGAGGCAGGCTGATGCTGAGGCAGGCTGAGGCTGAGGCTGAGGCTGATGCAGGCTGAGGCTGAGGCAGGCTGAGGCTGAGGCCGAGGCCGAAGGCAGACTGATGCTGAGGCTAAAGCAGGCTGAGGCTGAGGCTGAGGCAGGCTGAGGCTGAGGCAGGCGGAGGCTGAGGCTGAGGCAGGCTGAGGCTGAGGCTGTGACTGCGACTGCCGTTGCCACTGCGACTGTCCTCGCGAATGCGACAACGACTGCGAGAACAGCAGAATTCTACAACTGGATTCTCATCCGAATCTTAAGGGGAATGCTTCCAGATATGCTCCTACACATGGCTGTTAGGTTGCTTTGCCGGGATAATTTCCTCCCGTGAGTCTTCATCAGGGGGGATCTCTACACAGGTCACCTCGCTCCGCGTGTCGCGAGCTGCGGAATTTCGTGGCGGTGGCCTGCTTGAGCCCGCCGTCTTCACCGGGTGGAGGGGGGGTTAGAGGAGGGGAGAGGGGGGGGAGGAGGAGGAGAGGAGGAGGAGGAGGAGGAGGAGGAGGAGGAGGAGGAGGAGGAGGAGGAGGAGGAGGAGGAGAAGAGGAGAGGAGGAGGAGGAGGAGGAGGAGGAGGAGGAGGAGGAGGAGGAGAGGAGGAGGAGGAGGAGGAGGAGGAGGAGGAGGAGGGGCGGGGGGGGGGGGGATGGGCAAGCTCCATCGGAAGGTTAGTCGCCCACTCCTCGAGATTAATACCCCACCCAGAGTACATATTACATAGGTCACCTTTCTCCGCGTGCCGCGCCCCGCCATGCGCGACCCGCGACATCTGCGCGCCCTCGCGCCACCTGCAGCTGCCGCTCCGCCGTCGGCTGCGTCCGACGACTGCTGGGAACTCTGCTTTTTTTGTGTGCGCCCATCATGGTGGGCCCGTTTTTCTGCACAACGCCCCTGGCGGGCTTCGTTGGCTCCCGCTGACTGAACGTAACCCCTTCGTTCGCTCCCGCTGACTGAACGTTAACCCCTCAGCGAGTGGGAGGAAACTCTGTGCGCCCTCGTGCAGCCGCCCTGGGAACGCAGGGGTGGACCCGAACGGTGTTTGGGCGATTTCGTGGGCCGTGTTCGTTTCGGTTTCGTTTTGCAGCAAAGGCGGACTGAAGACAAAACGAGGGAGAGCGACAACACAATTAACGAAAACGAAACACACTGTTCAGGTCTATCCCCTTTGCTGCCCAGGCCGCGCCGCGCGAAGCGCGATTCTAATCGCGGCCCTCGAGGTGATCTTGGCTCTCGGCATGGAGGAGAGGGGCCCCGAGGGGGAACGGGCCGTGGAGCCCTCCCTCCAGGACATCACTTGAGGGGCCCAGGGACACACACACACACACACAAATAAACCAACGCAAATCCAGGGATTCCCCATATTTTCAAATGCTTTCGAGGTTTTCGTCTTCCCTCTGACTTTCCATATGTTTCCATATCTGTCTGGGAGTCGACGAGTCATCGGGCCTCCTTGTGTGTGTTCCCCTCCTGAATCATGTGCTCGCCACCCCGAGCAGCTGCTTGGCAGCCCTAGAGCCCCCGGAAGGGCCTGCGGAAAACGGCGAGAGACAAGAGGACCTCTCCCCCCCACGGTCTCATCACGACCCCCCCCCTCCTCACGTGTGAAGGGGCCCTGGGACACACAAACAAACACACACACACACACACACAAAAAAAGAAACATATTCCCCCATACTTTCCCATATTTTCTAGGCTGGGATCTTGTAGGGCCTGGGGGGGCCGCGTCCTGCGCCCACCGACGACGCGCCCGGGGTCGTCGCTGACGTGGTAGAGCACGTTCAGGTCGGCGCTGCGGAAGCCCTCCAGCCGGAAGGACGGCGGCAGCCCGCCTCGGGGCGCGCGGCGCCCTCGGGGAGGAGGAGCAGGAGGAGGAGGAGGAGGAGAGGAGCAGGAGGAGGAGGAGGAGGAGGAGGAGCAGAAGGAGGAGGAGCAGAAGGAGGGGGAGGAGGAGGAGGAGGAGGAGGAGGAGGAGCAGAAGGAGGGGGAGGAGGAGGAGGAGGAGGAGGAGGAGGAGGAGGAGGAGGAGGAGGCCCGCTCTGGCCCGGCCCTCCGCCCGGGTCGTCCTGGAGTCCCTCGGCGGCCCCGGTGGCGGGCCCCTATAGGGGGCCCCACGCGGATGGAGAAGCAGTGGCCGCCTCGTGCCCTCGGCTGGTGCGTGGGTCCGTGGGAGAAGAGGGACGAGGGGAGGAGGCGGAGGAGGGGCAGGAGACAGGCAAGGGGGGTGGAAGTCGAGCTGGCCCCAGCTGCCTCTAAGCTTCCTGTAGGAGCGGAGGCACCCCGAGGGGCCCCAGAGAACCCCAAGAGGCCCCCCCGAGGTCCCCCTTGCAGACCACCAGGGGCCTCCCAAGCTAACCTAAGAGCTCCCGAGAGGCCCTCCAGCCCCAGAGAAGCTCCGATGTGCGTCTTTAACTCAGGCAGCTGGATGCTGAATACGATCAGCCTCTCACTGCTGGCCCCACAAGGCGACGGTCCTCAAGGCTGCGCTTACTCGCCATATGTTGCCCCACGTCGCCGCACGAAAGAATGAGCCGTAGCCTCGCATGCGCCCCCCCTCGGGCCTAAACTCGCAATGTGCCGCCCGCGTGCACTGCATCGTGGGCCTGTGCCTACCACTCGTCTGCGCCAGTCCCGAGAGCGACGGTACCTCGGGGCTCGTTCCGCCTAACAGCGAAGGACGCTCGCGCCGCGCGCGCCATCATCAGGTGTGACCACACAGCCAGCCGCATGCCAAGACCAATGGGCGCCTCCTCCTCCTCCTCCTCCTCCTCCTCTTCCTCCTCCTCCTCCTCCTCCTCCTCCTCTGACCGGCCTAGTTGTAGGTTTCAAGGTAGATGTGTTGCAATGCCTCGCTCAGAAACTCTTTTGACACGCCCTGGAGCCATGTTTTGAAGTTGTTCGCTACACAGTTGCAGCCCTTGGATTCCATGAGCCCGAACTGAATCGAAGCCTCCTCCTTCTCTGAAGAGCATGGCTTTCCCTTTCTGCGGGGTATCCCCCACGATCCCCCGCGATCCTATCAGTAGGGCCCATCGCGCCGTGCGGCCAGTTGGGCCCTCGCAGGCCGTCAATGGTGAGGCCCCGTGGCCAGGCCGGCCTCCGAGGCTGGCGGCGGAGCACACTGCTCCCGAGCAATAGTTGCTGCTGGGCCCGCCAACCCGGGCAACGCCAACCCTGACTAGCCATGCTCGCAGCTCGTTCTCTTCTTTCCCAGCGCCCTTCCATTCCTCCACGCTCGTGCTCCTGCTTGTGCCTGCTTCCCCTCTCCCTCTCTCTCTCTCTCTCTTTCTCTCTCTTGACGCTGCGGAACTTGCCTCCGCCTCAAGCTCTCGTCTGGACCTGGGGGACCTTCCGGGCACAAAGTCTGGTGGTTGGGGGCAGGCGGGGTCTTGTCGGCTCTGGTGGAACGTTTGCTACTGATATGCGGCTTCGGAGGTGTGGATGGGCAGTTGCTTGCTTGGGCTTCCCTGATGGGCTCTTATTTCAGTTGGATGCTGGACACGATTATGTGTGGCAGCATACCTACTGTTAAGCAGTCTAGCCCACTTGCTGCGCTGTTTGCATGTTTTGTGGTTGTTCTTCATACAGTTGGTGATATGTTATGCGACTCTGAATATATGCCCGTGGTGAGAGGGCTGAGGCAGCCACGAGCTCAGATAGTTGCTAGTAACACGATGCGCGATCTGTGGGTTCGGATATGATCGGCTCTTGATGATCGCGGCCCTGGTCGGGTCGAGGTTCTCTGGACCACGAGTCATTCGACGGCCCTGCATAGGGCCCAATTCGCCATGTGGCAGGAGTGTTTGTTTTGTTTTGTTCTGAACTGGTGTGGTTCTTTGCGCGGGAGGGGCTGCTGAGAGGAGCTCCCCGTCTCTTGAGCAAGTTGACCTGACCCAATCTGTTGATCTGCTCACCTCCCACTCTCGTGACCGTCCGATCAATCTGATGATCTGCTCACCTCCCACACTCTTGACCGTCCGATGGCGGTCCACAGGGAGGTTGCTGCACATCATCCCCGAAGAGCTGCTGACAGGCTCGGTTGCCCGCCCCCTGCCTTCCTGGTTCGGAAACGTCTGTTGCGGAGCGCTGGCAATGAGCCCTGTCATGTAGGCTCGTTTTTGAAATGTCGGGTGTGCGCGCGCCGCTTCAGCTTGAGGGGTCGTGTCCAAGACTGCTGGCCAGGTCCCTGTCTTGGCCCTGCCCGTCTCGCTTCCGACCCGCTCGCCCACCCCTTGTATACAGGATGTGCCAGCAATCATCGAGTGAAGGTCCTGCGAGGAGCGCTCTAGTGTGAGCACTATGGTGCACTTGCGAGTGAGAATGTTCAGAATCTTGCGAAGTCGTGTAAGACTAACCGTCCGCGCTCGAAAGCAGGGAAGGAGGTCCTCTCCAGGCTGGCAAGGAGGCTGCCCCCCGAAAGTAGTGGTAAGTTTCCGCGGGCTTGAATTGTGATTCGTGCCCAGGCTTGACCTGGCACCCACGGGTTAGCAAATCAAATCCCCCGCGACCCACCCGCGACCCACCCGCGACCCGCCCGCGACCTTCCCGCCACCCACCCGCGTTACACCGCGCGACCCGGCCGCGACCCAGCCGCGACCCAACCGCGACCCAGCCGCGACCCAGCCGCGACTTGCCCGCGACTCGCCCGCGAACCACCCGCGATCCACCCGCGACCCACCCACGACCAACCTGCGACCCGCCCGCAACCCACCCGCGACCCATTCCGCGCCCACCCCCTCACTCTTATCCGCAACTGCGGTGTGCTATATATTAATGTATACGTACAATATATATATATAATATATATATATATATGTGTGTGTCCTATATGTGTACACACACATATATATATATATATATATATATATATCGTGGCGACGACAGAGAATTCGACAGAGGTCTCGACGACGACGGCAGCGACGTTGACCATCACACCGACCACGGCAACGACGCCGCCTGGCTCCCGCCATCGGCGACGACGACGACGACGACCAACACGACGACGACGACCCACACGCCGCCAGCAGCGGCGGCGGCGGCGGCCGAGGCGTCCGGCAGGCCCGGCCGCGCCGCGGCTGGGGCGGCCACCGCGCTGCTCCGGGCGCGCCGCGTGCCCGCCGTGGGCGGGGCCCCGGGCCCGCCAGTCCTCGCGCCGGCGGCCCGCGGCGGCGGCCGCCGCTGCCGCCGGCTGTGCGCAAGAGTGCCCCATGGGTAATGCGGGATGACGATTATGAAGGGGCCCTGGGACACACAAACAAATACACACAAACAAAACAAATCCCCACATTTTCTTATATTTTCTGGGCTTTTGTCTTCCCCACCACTTCCCATATTTCCCCGTATTTTCTGGGGGATCGACGATTAATTGTGTCTGTGTGTTTTTCCCCTCCTGAGATTAAAAAAAAATGGGAGAGAACGATCAAAAACATAGTTGTCTGCTTTTTCTGCACCATCTTCTGCCTGTAAGAGAACGCTTAAAGAAATAGTTTTCCAGCCCGCGGTCGGTTTTTTCTAATCGTCATCCCGGGCGCCGCCGCGTGAACACGACCCCCGGTCATTTATTAATCGCCATCCTCCATCAAGAGTGACCTTTGGTGCGCGACTTTGGGGGGGCCGCGGGGGGACCAAGCCTGGGCGCGCCAGCAGCTGCTATACTGCCTCGTCTTCAGCCATGCGGGGGCCCACCTGCGCCCGCACCGAAGGTCGCTCCGGCGGAAGGTCACTCTTACGTCTAGGGGCTGCCGTCCCTGGGCCCCCCGACCTCGTCGCACCAAAATCGCGACGCGAAGCTCTTCGGAGCAACTTTCGGCCCTGGCCAGGCCCGGCCCCGAGGCCGTCAAAGAGCGGCTGGGGAGGAAGAACAGGGCCCGGGGGAAGGAGCCGATGCCTCGGGGGGTCCACGCTGTTAAAAAACTTGCCGTCGGGGATCTGAGTCGTCGCCGTCGCCGTCGCCGTCGGCCGGCCGTCATGATTCGGTCGCCGTCGTCGTCGTCGTCGTCGTCGTCGTCGATTGAGGGTTTTCCCTGCTGGGAGTCCGCCTTTCGAAACGCACACCTGTGACGGGAAATGCATCGTAACACAGCGCGGATAACACCTCCTGTTTCGCTTTCTCGAGCGATCTGCTGTTTCATACTAGACGATGTTGGGCACATGCCAAGTTGTTGAGGATATATCGAGCGGACAACCACAACAAAGGAACCTGGCCAGACGAGAACGGGAACCGTCGCTTTTGTGAACTGGGTGCGTGAAAACGATTCGCCTTGCTTGCCTGCAGTGGAGCTCTGTCATGTTGCTGCTCTGGTCCGCCGTGCTGATACCCCGTGCGGCTGTGTTCTGCCGTGCTGGTCTGCGTTGGACTGCCTTGCTCCTCTGGTCCGCCGTGATCGTCTGCCGGGCTGGTGTGGCGTCTGCCGTGCTCCTGTGGTCTGCCGCGCTGGTCTACCGTGCTGATGTGGTCTGCCGTACTGTTTTGCCGTTCTGCTGTGGTCTGCCGTGCTGGTCTGCAGTGCCGTGTGACGTGTTGTGTGCGTGCGGGCTGTATGTCTATTGTGGCTTGTGCAACTCTATGTGTTGTGTGCTGTCCAGTGGGTACCGTGCGGGTGTGCTGTGCGTGTTGTGTGTGTGTGTTGTGAGCGTTGTGCTGTACTGGGCAGGCGGGCGGGAGGGGGCGTACGTTGCGCGCGCCGGGTGTGTACTGGGCGGGGCGGGGGAGTGGAGGCGCATGGTGTGTGCGCGTTGCGCGCCGCACGTGCTATGAACCACGGCGCCTGAATCACGGCGCCTGCTCCATGCGCTGTGCGCTCTGCTCTGCTCGCTGTCGCCGTGCTTCCTCTTCCGCTCGCGGGAGTCCGAGGCGCCCTGCCGCAGCCTCTGGCACGGGGCCTCGCGCCGCGGGCCCGGCCCTTGCGGCCCACCTGTCGGCCCGAGGCGTGCCCGAGGCAAGCCCGCCGTCCAGTCTCTCGGGCCGCGGGAGATCTGAGCCATCCTCACTCTCCTGCCCACTGCACCTCGCTGTATCTCCGAGAGCAAGGAGGCAGTCAGACGAAGACATGCGGGTAGGGCACTGGAGAAGGAGCCACTGGATAGGGGATCCAGGGTCCGGAAGTCGGCGGAACACCAGTTCGAGCTCGGCCATGGACACCGCTGCCGCCCTCACCAGAGAAGGAACCCCCAAGGGTCCGAAGCCTCCCCTGGGCACATTCCTCGCGCGACGCCGCCACTGCACAGAGGAAACGCAGAAGAGAGGCAACGCCACGACACATACTCGAGAACGTCCGAGGACCTTCGGAAACCGATGGGCCCCTCCGTTGGAAAACTAGAAACGAGCACGAACTTCCCCGAACAACTCATTCCAGTCGACCCGCCTCATAAGGACGCATGGTAAAGATGCAAGGGCCTTGGAAGACCGTGCCGACACTGCGCGGGCGCGGCGCGGCCAGCCAAAGCGGCCGAGGATGGGCCGAGGCAACAAGGATGCAAGGGCACCCCTGGGAAGTTGTGCGGGCTGACCGTGACCAATCGGTCGCAATCAAGCCTGAGACTGCCGGGGAAATCTCCCAACGAAACCAGCCCGAGAAGAGAGGCCCCCCCTCCCCCCACAGCTTCGGAGGCTTCCAGGCGTGGTCCCGGCCCAGAGTGCCCACAGCGTCTCGGGCCACCATCTACCCCTAAGTCGGGCGTGTTCCCCTACAGGGGGATTTGGGGCAAAGAAGAAAGCATAGACAAAACAGATTCAAACATGGTCACAACTATGAAACAAATCGCCCCCGGGTCATTGTTCGCCTACTTTGGAGTTGTCCTCCTGCAGAGGGGCAGGCCCGACTTCCCTCCCCCCCCACAGGGGCACTCTGGGCCTCGTGATGGGGGCGCACACAGGGGCCACCTGGTGGGCCCCCCCCCGCGGAGCGCTGGAGCCACCCTGGGCCAGGACCACCTCCGGCAGCGCCCGCCCGCTCTCCGCGTCGGCCCTGGCGTGGACCTGCGGGCTCACCACGGGCGTCTCGAAGCCGGCCTCGAGGTCGCCAATGACGCCGTCCACCGCCTGCGCGGGGCGCCGCGCTCCGCCTGCCGGGGGGTGCCCGCCGGAGCACCTCGCCGGAGCCGCCGCCGCGGCGATCCAGGCGCCGCGGTGGAGCAGCCACAGAGCTGTACATATGGGTGGCGCGAGCCCTACCCCCACCCCCCACGACTTCTGAGGGGGAGGGTGGGGTTCACTTCGCTCGGGAGCTCCCGAGCGAAGTGAACCCCACCCTCCTCCTCAGACATCGCGGGGGGCAGGGGTTGGGTTCGCATGTGGCCCCCTAGTACAGGCGTCAGGCTTCGGAGGCCCGCTCCGATGTCTCGGGTCGGCGCTGAGCCCCGTGGCGGCGCCTCCGGCCGGACGGAGCCCGAGTCCCCCCGCGGCGCACCCGCCGTTCGGCGGCCGAGCGGGAGGCCCCCCACATCCAAGCCCTGCGCGACCCGAGCGAAGCACCCGAGTGGACGGGGTAAGGGGGCGGGAGTGGAAAAAAGGTGCCGCGCCTTCGCTCGCGGCACTTCCGCGCCCTGGCTGCTCAGTGCGGGAATGTTGAGTATGGTTGAACCGATCCCCTTCCCCAGCGGCGTGGCCTGGGCCCCACTGGCCCATTTGCCCCCCCAGATGGGGGATATGGGCCGTTCCCTTCGGGCTTCGAGGGGTGCATCCCCAACTGGGGTGGTAATTTGGTGGGGGTCTCGAAGGGGATGGGGATGGGGATGGGGATCGGATAAACAATACTGATCCCCAGCGCCGAGCACCGAGCCTTTCTTGTTGGCGCTGCCGAGCGATGTGCCTCCCCTTGCCTTCTTGCTTGCGGCTTGCTTCTGCCTCGTGCGGTCGGTGCACTCGACCAGTGAGGGGGCCCCAGCACACACAAAGAAGTACACACAAGTAAAAAGATACCCCATAATTTCTTATATTTTCTGGGTTTGTGTCTCCCCCCCAATCCCCATATTTTCCCATATTTTCCTCGGAATTGACGATTGATTGTGTCTGTGTGTTTCTTTCCCTCCTGAACCAAGATCGTAAGGATGCGCGGTAAGGATGCAAGGGCCCTGGAACGCCATGTTGACGTTTTCCGTGCGGAGCGCAGCAGAATTCTGGAGGATGCCGAATACCGAAGGGGCAAGGACGCAAGGGTAGCCTTGGAAAACTGCCCCATCCGTGCTATCATGGTTGACTGTACCTGCACTGGCGCGCGCACCGCACCTGCACTGGCGCGCGCGACCGAGCCTTTTTGTCAGCGCCGACGAGCGATTTACCGACCCTCGCCTCCTTGCTTGCGGCTTGCTTCTGCTTCGTGCGGTCGGTACGGCGATGGCATTTTTTTATCCTATCACCCTGGGGCTTATCATGCACAGACAAATTCAGTCGCCGTCTTACGGCCCCGCAAACAGTGCTTGCGCGGGCCCGCAGCCCACCAGGACCAAACCCCGAAGCGCGGCAACCGTCACTCCGCGCTTTGGCCGACTTCAGGCCTGGGGTCCGCCATCCTGGCCGCTCTGGCGGCCCTGCCTCGCTCCTGAGCCTCAGCAGCGCTGGCAAAGCCGAAGGAGCCCAGGGCTCCCTCTAGCCCTGGGCGAAACAGCCTCCCTGGGGCAGGCGGGGCGGGTGCCCGATCCCGCACCTCTGGGGGCTCCACGGCGGAGGCTCTGGAACCTACAGGGCCCACAAGGTCCTCCATGCCCTCAGGGCCCGCGACCGTGCCGAGCGCCTCGGCCCACCTGGCACGGGTGGCCGCTGTGGGCCGAGCCAGCTGGTCGATCGGCTGCTTAGATTTCCCAGGCAAAAGCGACTTCGCGAAATCGTTTCGCGCCTGCGCCCTGGAGCCCTTTTTGGCCCTGGGGTCGTCAGCGCGCTGGGCCCCGCTGCAGGCCTTGGCTAGGCCTCTGTGGCAGTACTGGGGCTTCAGGCAATACATCCAGCACGCCACACAAACCAACAACTCAGGGCCATCACCGCCTGAAACGCGGGATTCCCGAAGACGGTGGCCGTTGACCTCCCAGACCCCCGACTCGACAGGGTCATCCTGGGACGGGCGGGCTCGCGAAAAATTCGAATTTGAGCCCCCCGACATTTGGCCAGAGTCGGGGGTCTCAAAATGGGGCCCTGGGGTCCTCACCTGGCCAGCAGGGCCCGAGGGGGCTCGCGGAGGCGGGGCGGCGGCCGCAGCAGCAGGGGAGGCCACGGAGGAAGGAGGGGGATGGGGGCTGCGACACAGCCGACGGGGGCGGGCTCAGTGCGCCCGCGGCCGAGGGCGCTGCCCGCTCCGCCTTCTCTGCGCGGCGGCGCTGGACCGCACGAAGCAAGGCCGCCGACGCGCTCGACGCGTCTGCGGCTGGATCACTGGGCCCGACGGGCCCCTCGCCTGCCTCCTTCCTCTTGCGGACCTTCTTGTCGACCTGGTCCTGGGCCTGGGCTCCCTGGCTGGCCGCCGCTGCCGTCGCCAGCGTTGCTGCCGCCCCCAAGGCCGCCAATCCGCCAGGGCCACGGGCAGCCGACTCCTCGGCCTCCAGCAGCTGCTCCAGGGCGGGCGTCGGAGCGAAGGGGTCCAGGTCCACGAGGTCAAGGGAGGTGAGCGGCCAGGAGTCCCTGAGCCCCGACTCGGTGATGTGCACCTCGAGGGCCGCCGCGCACCTGGCCACCTCCTTCGCCTGAGCTAGGCAGCCCTCCAGCATCAGGGCGTCCTGCTCCGCTATGGCGTGGAAGGCCGATCCTTCCTTTGCCCTGGTGTCGGCGCGCCTGTTGCCCACGAGCTCGAAGAGGGTGAGCTCCCCGTCCCGCACCGCGGCCTCGGTGCGGTGGGCGGGCACGTGGCGTATGTTGACGCCCTCCGCTGCAACGGTGATGGCATTGGATAAGGAAACCTTCGATAAGGAATCCAGGGTCTGGAAGCCAGTGGAAAGCCAATCGTGGATTGGTCATGGGTACCACCGCCGCCCTCATCAGATAAGGAACCCTCCAGGGTCTGAAGCCTCCTGGGCACGTTCCTCCACGAACGCCCCCACCGTACCTGCACGGCTCGCACCGCCCCATCGAGCGGGCGCCCCCGCGACGGACGCGGGCGACACCCCGAAGCGGGTGACTCGGCGCATGCGCGGTACTGAGGGAGAACGCTACGGGGGGGCCGGCTCATATAAAAAGACAAAAAAAAAGACACTCACAATAACAGGGGGGGGGGGGGGGGGAAACACGGAGCTGGAATCCGCGACGCATCGCCGATGGATCGGCGACAGGCCCCCGATGGCGACGCCGCACGTTCCTGGGAGGGGTGTGCCATCGGGCCCCCAGCGGCGATGAAAGGGCGATGATTGGGGATCGATGCGTCTCCCCTGGGCAGACCCCCCCCTGACGCTGTCCCCGAGGAGAGGGTGCAAGGCCTTGGACGCCTGAGCCTGGAGCCGAAGCCTAACGCCCATGGCTCGGGACGGAGGGCCACATGTTTGTGACACCACCTCGTCTCGGGACGGGGAGATAAAGGATGGGCCGAGAAGCAGAGGTGCAGAGGACGCCCCTGGAGAGCTGCTCGACCCTGCGACGCACGACGTGCCTGCCAGGCAGCTCCTCCTCGCCCTCCCGGCGCCGGCCTGCTTGGGGCCCGGCCGTGCGGGGTGCGACAGCATCCGCGGGGTCAGCGGCGTGGCCTCCCCGCTCGCCTGGGCGCGCGCAGCGGGGACCCCCCACCCCACACTGCCCGCAGCGGTCCTGCGGCGCCTCCCCTGCCTGCCCTGACCTTCCAGAGCGCTAAAAATAGCACTCCAGACCTGTAGATCTATCTGGACTGCCTCAAACCTCGACAGGAATTAGGACGTCGACGTCCTGGTGCTATTCTTAGCCCTCCTGGAAGGTCAAGGTGGGGGGGGGGGGGGCAAGAGACCACCCGTGCCGCTGCTCCCGGGACCTCACCTCGAGCGCGTCCTGGCCGGGCTTCCGAGGCGAATGCGGCGGCGGCGGCGAGCGGCGGGTCAGGGCGACGAAGCCTGTGCACGTCCATTGCTCCCAAGCCAGGCTTAAGTCGGGCCTGTCCCCCTACAGGGGGATTTTCGACGAAAAATAAAAAAGTACCAGAAACATACAGCAAGAAGGCAACACAAATATTTTTAAAAAGTCCCCAGACTATTTTTGGATTATTGTTTGACTATGTTTGTGGTATTTTTATTTTTCGTCGATAATCCCCCTGTAGGGGGACAGGCCCGACTTAAGGCCAGGCCCATTCTGCACCCAACGGCGGTGCACACGCCACGCCCTCCCGGCTTGGCCAGGAGGGCCACCCGGCTCCGGGGCTCGGGAGGGGCCTGGCCAGCGAGCAGTGGACGCGTATGGACTTCGTCGCCCGACGAGCAGGACCAGGAGGAGGAGGAGGAGGAGGAGGAGGAGGAGCAGGAGGAGGAGGAGCAGAAGGAGGAGGAGGAGGAGGAGGAGGAGGAGGAGGAGGAGAAGGAGGTGCGTGCGTACCTGCTCCTCCTCTGGTCCCCTCCCCGCCCCTCGGCAGGCCTCCCGAGGCCCCCCCGATAGGGCTCCCGGAGGAGCCCCCTCCGGACGCCTCCGGGAGGCCGACCGGGGCCATGGTCCCCATGGTCCTGTCCAGCGACCTCGATCCTCGAACTGGGCAGGGAGGTGCGGGCGTGCCGTGCGAGCACGTGCGCACAAGGGGGGGAGCGCGCTCTGGGTCTGTCCCGACAGCAAGAGCACGCGCGCGGGCAGCGCGTGCGGCTGCGCGAGCGGCGGGCGCGCCCACGGCGGCGGGCCCCGCGCAGAGCGACGCTCTGCACACGCCTTGCGCACTTCGGCCGATGCGGCTCAGACCTTCAGGATGGCCCCAAAGGGCCTGCAAGACGGCCAAGATGGACTCCACGCAGGACGGGATGGCCACGTACGGGCCCCCCACGACAGCCCAACATGCCCCACGACGGTCCTCATGCAGTGTGGCATGTGTTGCAGCATTCGGGCCTTTTCGGGCTTCCAGAGGCCCAGAGCGGCCGAAGAGGCCTCCAGGATGGCCTCAGCACGGCCCAGGGGGCACCAGGAGAGCCCCAAGACGGCCCCAAGACAGCACACGGCCCCCGAGACAGCAAACATAGGACCCCAGCGCGGCCCAGGAGTCACCCCAAGAGGACCCCCGTACGGCCCAGACAGACCCAAAGGCGGCCTCCGAGGGCGCCAGGCAGGCCGAGAGCGCCTCGAGGCGGCCCAAGAGGCCCCCAAGACGCCTCCAGGCGGCCCCACCAGTGGCACCCGCCCCAGCGCGGTGGCAGAATCGCGCGGCAGCTCAGCTGGATGCAACTTTCTAAACATCACCGTTGCATGTTGGCCCAATGGGCGGGATCCTTGACGTTCCATGCTTCACTCCCCTTCGGCAACCGTGGCCGACCTGGGCCGCAGCATTGGCAGGCAACCACCTTCGTGCGCGCTGTGCTCCGACGCACACTTAGCGCGAATCATTGGTGCTGACCTCGCTGACTGAAGGGGCCCACACACACACAATAGCAGGTTCCCCCGTATGTTCCCATATTTTCTGGGTGTTTGTCTTCCCCCATATTATCCTATATTTTCTGTGGAACCGACGAAACAGTGTGTCTGTGTGTCTGTTTCCCTCCTGACTGGCATGGCAGCGGAGAGCCCACGTGGCAGTCTCTGCGGCTGCAGGAGGGGCCGATGACAACGGCGGGCTGCCTTACAACCCTGCAGTGGGCTCCCACAGGGAGGAGGAGGAGGAGGAGGAGGAGGAGGAGGAGGAGGAGGAGGAGGCGGAGGAGGAGGAGGAGGAGGAGGAGGAGGAGGAGGAGGAGGAGGAGGAAGAGGAGGAGGAGGAGGAGGAGGAGGAGGTGGAGGAGGAGGAGGGTGAGAGGGAGGTGAGGTGGAGGCGGAGGAGGAGGGAGGAGGAGGAGGAGGAGGAGGAGAGGAGGAGGAGGAGGAGGAGGGGAGAGGAGGAGGAGGAAGACGGCAGGAGAAGGAGGAGGAGGGGAGGGGAGGAGGAGGAGGCGGAGGAGGAGGGAGGAGGAGGTGGAGGGGGAAGGGGACGGGGTGGGGAGGGGAGGAGGGTGAGGGAGGAGAAGCAGGAGGAGGGTAGGCGGAGGAGGAGGAGGAGGCGGAGCGGAGTGCGGAGGAGGAAAAGGAGGAGGCGGAGGAGAGTTGAGGAGGAGAGGAGGAGGAGGAGGACGAGGAGGAGGAGTGAGGAAGGGTAGGTGAAGGGAGGCGGAGGAGGGGAGGAGTAGAGGAGGAGGAGGAGAGGAGGAGGGTTAGGAGGAGGAGGGAGGTGGAGGAGGAGAGGTGGAGGAGGAGGAGGAGGAGGAGGAGGGGGAGGGGGAGGAGGAGGAGGAGGAGGAGGTTAGCGAGGAGGAGGTGGAGGAGGAGGAGGAGGACGGAGGAGACGGAGGAGCATGTGGGGAGGGGAGGATGAGGAGGAGGAGGAGGAGGAGTGAGGAGGAGGAGGGGGGAGGGGGGGAGAAGGAGGAGGAGGAGGAGGAGGAGGAGAGGAGGGTAGGAGGAGGAAGAGGAAAGGGAGGAGGAGGAGGCGGAGGAGGAGGAGGAGGAGGACGAGCAGGAGGAGGAAGAGGAGGAGGAGGAGGCGGAGGAGGAGGAGGAGAAGGAGGAGGAGGAGGAAGAGGAGGAGGGTAGGAGGGGGGAAGCCCTTTGGCCGTCGAGTCCTACTCCCAGGCGGGCAAAGGATGCCCTACAAGTCTCAAGGCAAATACAACAAAAACACTAGCGACACCACAACGGTGGTCGCCACTGAAGGGAATCAGCTGCTTGAGAGGCGGTCGAAGGTCGTGCCCTATCGGAGTTCGGGGGGGGGCGACAGGATTTGGGCCGTGACTGGAGCACATGAGAAGCTGCCCATTGGTCCGAATGCCGAGCGCTTACCACACATCAAGGTAAGGAAGTCCAGCAAGGTGATCAGTGATCACACGATCCACGCGTATACTTTCTCTCGCGACATGAAGAGAGCCAATAAGCTGGTGCGCGAATAGTGTCTCTGCAAGGCGAGACGTTTACCAACGACCAACCAGATCTCACATAATACCCGAGAATCTCTAATCTGAGACCGACAAAATTAGAGAGGGAGGGAATGTGACACGGAGCAGAAGGACAAGGATCAAAAGGATCGAGACAGCGTGGGAAAAAGGACCAACACCACATCAGTGAAATCGACGACACGCAGGGACGCGAGCTTCTTTGAATCGGAGCTCTAGGGTCACATACGTCGACACAACGCAAGGCACCCTTGACACAAGCGACACGTGTTTTTGACTGGAACTCAAACGTCACAAGGTGCGCAGCGATCACCACACAGCTGCAGGCAGCCTGCGAGGATAGAGACCCCACCCAAGAATCCCGAAGACTGCCAAACACCTGCAAGACGGCTTCCCTCAGGACCGCTGTTCCGTTATGCCGACAACGGGCAGGCAGGCAACTCGCGCACGCTGCCCAGAGCGGAGGCGCGACACACTCCTCCTCCTCCTCCTCCTCCTCCTCCTCTTCCTCCTCCTCCTCACCCTCACCCTCACCCTCACCCTCCTCCTGATCCTCCTCCTCCTCCTCCTCCTCCTCCTCCTCCTCCTCCTACACGCACGCGTGACCATGGGCGCGGTCTCCAGGAGGGGGGGGCGGCCAGACCCAGGCGTGCAGGCCGCTGCCGTCGCATCGCACTCCGCGATCCGGGGAACGACAAGGGGGCCAGCCAGGGCTGAACCTAAACGGTGTTGTTCGTTTTCGTCTTGTTGTCGTTGTCCCCCGCTCTTGTCTCGATACCGCCGTTCCCGCAAAACGAAATCGAAACGA